TGGAAGAACAACAACGACGACGTAAGGCTTCGGACAACACACACGGTGGGAACAAAGCGCAATGCTAGGGGCGATGCAGTCGTACTGGGAACAGTTGCGCGATACACGCAAGGAGAAATAGCTCGAGTCGAATCGGCACCCATCCTCCCACCATTCCGACCTAGAATCGTCTTTTTAAAGCGTGCTACTTAGTAATACTACTAATAGTAGAAAGACAAGCGAATGCTCGCGATCGACAATACCAAAAACAAGACGACGATGCAATTAGGCTAATTATAAGGAAAATAGGATTTCCAAATTGGAAGCGTTTCCAACTTTGCGAGGATTCGAATCACGGAAATCCTTGCTCTCGGTTTAGAATATTAGATCCGTCCTCGAGAAATCGGATGATCTTCATCGCGCGATCAATTAGAGTCGACTTGTATCACGATGAATACTCTCGAGAGGATACCACCTCGGAGAACTTCGAGTAGAGAGAGAGAGAGAGATTAACCCTTGGCAGGTGCCGGAATTGGATCTACGAGCGAACATTGCAACATCCCTTTAGTCCATTTGAAGGCCGGCCCAACCGAGCTGCCATCTAATGGATTCTAATCGCTATTCTATATGTCAGCCTTTTCGATAATAATAAATTCGCGGGGACAAGGCGAGAAAAGGGAAGAAAGATCATTATAAAGCTGCGTTATGGAATCACTTTATCAAATCCTCGAGAGTCTCGACGAAAAAGGGGAAAAAGTAGTAGAAAAAAAAATCCGAGAGAAAGATTTTTCTTAATTTTTCAAAGAACACGTACACGTGCAACGCGATCTCTTTGCTCTACTTCTCTTTCGTAGGAATCTTTTCGAGGCAGAGTTTCCTCGTCAACAAAATATCATATTCTCGAGATTTTGTTCTTTTTTCTTTGACTTTATCCAACAAACGCTGCTGCGAATCTACTTACATAGGAGTGATACTTTACTTGCTACAACCGATACTTTAGGGACGCGCTTACCATCGGGTTCCGCGCGTTACGTACCATCTCATTAACCGTTTTTCCTTATAAGGAAAAGGAAATGAAAGACGACACGCGTGGGTGGGAGTGCCACTCCCTCTCTCCGTACAAGAAAAGTCCTCCACGACGAGTCTCGCGAAATTACGTAATTTACGAGAGAGAGAGCCTCTAATTTGCGAAGACTTCAAAGAATACTTGAAACTTTTCTAGTTAATGCCACGGAAAACTTGTCGTTCGAGTGGAATATATCTACCTACTGCTTTGCGCGGAAATACGCGTCGAACATTTTTCGCCGAGTTTGAAGCTTCGAACGAGCGTCGGATCAAATATAAATGAAAATGAAATAAAATGTGTGAAGCACGTGGTGCAAAATACTAATTGCCTTGACAAGATATATAGGTACAAACATTAAATAGACTTTTCTTCGAAGGAAGGGTCTGCAATAATATAATCTAATAGCATAGAAAGGCATTTGCTGGCAATCGGCTTGGAACCGATTGGCTCCGATGGCCTCGGAAAGCTGACGTTAACCGTAGCTGTAGGCGTCTAGGTGCGAAGAGAGATACTGTCGATCGCGGAACACAATGCAACGCTACGAATAGGAAAGTATGCGCATACGCTCACTTTTAATCTTGGCAACGTCTAAGACCTTAGGAATTCGGAGGTACGCGTATCAAGACGAAATGAATTTTCGCTGCTGCGAAATCCATAGGAGCCAATTTGCATGGAGGATTTCATTGAAAAATGTGACAGCCGGCCGAGATTAAGCCGCGCCAGGGGCTGAAGGACACAACGCCGCTGACCGCTGGCCGCAATTAGTGCGAACGAACGATTTATGTGACGTCGACCCGATGGGAAAAGAATGTGTGTGTGTGTGTGTGTGTGTGTGTGTGTGCGCACCACTGGTACGGAACGAGCTACGTTTGCGCCTTCCAAATTCAACCTTTCTAGTCCTTTTCATTCGATACAGTTAGCGAAACTAAGTTTAGGTCGAAGGGTAAACATTCGGATAAGTAGGAAGAAAGGAAGGGGAGGAGAACGCCGGCTGATCAGCCTGTACCTTGACCTCCGCTCCGATTACGTGGAACAATCGAAGACAAAATCCTAACGCGTATTTGCTAATTCTTGAATAGACGAAATAAAAGAGAAAGTCGGCTTTATAAATTCGTAGCGTGTTTTAATCCCTTCCGTAAGCCATCCAACAGCGCGACTGCTTTCGCCCTAAATTAAGGGATTTTCGAATAATCTTTCTCGTTTGCTCTATCGACTAATTCGTAAGCATAACACCGATTCTTCGAAAGTACGGACTTAATCCTCGATCATCGAGCAAGTGTGTCTTTTCTTCCTGACGAAAGAAGGACAACGAGCTTAAGCTGGATAAAACTTTGAACGAACGAACGCGAGCGAGGGAATTTTACGTTGAAACTAAAAAATAGAAAATAATGGAGTTAAGGCGACGCGTGCCGCGCGTAATAAAAAAACGGGATAGTTTGAAATTTGGATAAAAAAAGGATTAGGAAGAATTCGAAAGGACTAACCGAGCCCAGAGTCAAAGCTCTGTTTCCGGCGAGATATTCTTCCGGCGTCCCTTTTGTGTCGCTTTCAAGGTATCCAATGAGCTTGTACGAGCCGGTAAAAAGAGCAAAAGATGATTTCCTTTGAAAGAGAAGAAACGAGAAGAAAAGCGAAGGAAGGGTTGGGGTTGCTCGAGAAAGAGAGAAACGCCACTTTGCTCGGTCTCTTCTCCGAGGGTAACACTCGACGTTAAAAGGGAGTAAATACCCGGGCTCGTGGTGCTTGCACACAACTACGAGTATCCTACGTAACGAGCTTTTTCTATTAATTAATCTTCCTTCCCCTTGTTATTCCGCGGAATATACATTCGCCACGTCGTTCAAAGTTCGGGGAAACTGGCAACGATCGTAATCGTTTCCCAGGGGAAAATCGCGCTAAACGCTATTCTTTCTTCCGAAATATTTCATAAAACGTAGGACTTTGAAAAGAGCAATTTAGAGAAAAAGAGCTCTGTATTTTCGTAGGACTTGGAAACAACATCGCCTGTCTCAATTACGAACCGAATTGCATTACGGATCATCGCGCGTACGCGTAGTAACTCGCTTATGTCTCCTTTCACCGGCAACTCTAAAATTGCTAAAAACCTATTTACTAAAGTTCTTTTTTTGCGCAAAAGTCGAAGAGCAATATCATTCGGTGCGGTTATTACGCTTCTACGTATACATATGGAGAATTTGTATGAATGGCCTCGGCTCGTTCCTCTAATCCAGTTTCTTCGCACGTACGCTACTAGTACGCGGTTATCGTTACCCATCCGACAAATGCTTTTTACCTTGAAAAGTCTCGCGATAAGAAGAAAGTAGTAAACAACAACGATTTCGTTAACAGACTATCGACGAATCCTTTCAAAAACTCATTAATATAGATAGATGAAAGTTTGTAAAAGTAGGTATGACAAACGTTTTCGTTGCAGGAAGCGTTGCAGCATGGAAGACTCGAGGGCGGGTCGAAAAGGCGCCGACTTCAAATAGAGCGGAAAGCTTCTCCAACGTTTCACGAGCAATTTCATTTCCAGTGGAAAATTTATGCAAATCACTCACGGCCCAGGGAGGGAGTCAGATAGCGAAGGGATGCCAGGTAGCGAGCGAACGACTCTGCTACGCAATCGGCTGCCGATACGAATACTTCCAACCTAACGGATCTAATTGTCCTTACCAACATTCGAAAAATCGATAGAAAGCGTTATTTCTTTTCTTTTCTTTTCTTTTCTTTCTTTTCGAAAGAAAAACTTTCGAAGCGCGTTCGCGTATTATCGACGCTTTAAGAATCTTCGTTATCCTGGTCAAGGGTGGTGTGCTCCGAAAAACCACGAAATATTATGCGTTACGTCTCCAGAGATACTGGTTCGATGACCGAAAACTAAGAAAAATGAGCAAACAATTTACCACCTGTCTCGTGAAATGATAAACATTGCGTTAAGTCGATCAGCGAGTTTTTAAGAAAAGAAGAGAGGAAAAGAGTAAACAGGCATTGTGCCTTTGTACGTTAGAGAAAAAACAAATGAAAACAAAGTAAAAAAGCAATCGTATCTGCCTTATATTCAGAGGAGCCTTGAAAAATATATGCGCGTGATGAGAAACTCTCGTTGCGCGCTCGAAAACAAAAAAAGAAAATAAAGTAAGCCAAGTGGAATATCATCCCTCCGAGTTTTTCTCCTGTATTACTCGATGCCATTCTACTCTTTTCTATGAAAATGAGAAGCAACATTTTTGAAATAGAAGCCGCATAGAGATGATACTTTCCTTTTGTATCGAGAGAATTACGAAAGGATAAGAAAGGTTCGTTTGACAATTATGCTCTGGAAATATGATTAATCGTAGAGAGGAAAAAATAGAAAGGACCTTCCATCGGCGCGATCCTTTGAGTCTTCCATGAATATTAAGCGAACAAAATCCAGTCGAATTTCGAAAGAGCTTATACACTCGTGTACCTCCGGCATTTCCAATCTTATTAGTCGAAAAGACGCGTGGCAAAAATTCGACTAAAGGACAAATCACGAAGATCGATATCCATTACTCGCGGAGCTTTGGCTCCGACGCGACGCGACGCTTCCGAACGTCTTGCTAGACGACACAAAAAACAATTTCAAATATTGCTTTGTTTTGGTTCGCATCACTGTGGCCGAACGATCGACTTGTCGTCAATTACTCGACTCGAGAATATCGATCGGTTCTCCCCTAGGACCCGTCCACGAAGCGTAACAGAAAGAAGGACAAAATAATAGATCGGAGAAGCGAGGAGCCTGTTTTTTGGCCGAACCTCTCTATTTCTCTCTCTCTCTCTCTCTCTCTCTTACTGTTTATCAAAAGCTAGATCCAAGGAAAATAACAAGCCAATTCAAAATATGCTAAGGATACGACGACGTGTATTTATCGTCGTAGGTACTACCACTTAATTTAACTAATAAGTCTTATTTTGGAATAGGTTCACTTACGTGTTTTACTTATCGTTCGAGGGAAAAACGTCTCTCGCTCTCGACCTTGGCCCTCGAGGTAGTTTCAGGAACGCGAGGAAGCTTTGAAAGAAACTCTGACACGAGGAAGACGAGTAGGCGAGCGGCCGAGCGAAGGAACAAGCTGCTTTCTTTCTCCGGTCGTAAATGAAAATGTGTAAATAGAAAAAAAAGAGTCTCACCGTCCGAGGACTCGCGGCCGACTGAGGTCCACCTCGAACGTCACCGAGGGTGTAGCTCCCTTCCGAACGTACTCCCCACCAGAGCTAGCGGCATTGGGGAACATCCACGCCATCTGATTCGTGGAACGAGTACGCCTGTACTAGCGAGCGCGAGGAGACGGGGGATAGGGACGACCGAAGGGACGAGACGAAAGTTCCTCGAAAACAGCGATCGCCTACGTGCCGGAGAAAACTTTGCTCGGATTTCAAAGAGATATACTTATCGGGGGTGTTTTTCCTTCGGTTCGTCTAATCGATCCTTCGAAAAGAGTCCAAGTATTTCATTAAATCCAATTTCATCGATGTCGCGCAATCCTGACGGCATCCCGGAATTACTGGCGATATCCTTGGCGAAGGGAGCAATGGCCCTTTGCCTTTCTATGACCTTACGGTTGCGCCACAGAGAGAATTACAATATATATTATAATATATTTAGAAAGAAAATAAATCGGCACTTATATGGAGGAATCCGTGTAGAAGATATTTCATCCCTCTTTGGAATAACTCGACACGGATATTCCCTGTCGGCCGAATTCTACTCGACTTCACCCACCGAGAGAGTTTCTGCTTGGGGGAAATCTCGACGTACTCGGTGAAACTCGTCGCGTTTCTATCGTCGTTCTTGCGATATAGGTACTCTACAATTGAAATAATAGCAAGCTTTCGGAAAATGGATAAATCATTTTTTGCAATTTACAATTTAGAAAAAACATACCAATTGGGTGGATCGAATTAAGAAAAATCCAGATGCAATTTCACTTACATTAGTCTTGTAATAATTCGCTCCTTTGGTAAGGGTAATCCTGTAAGAAAATTTATTGCGAATATGCATGGGGCACTTATGAATATGAATATGAGTAAATCATTATGCCGTGCCGTGCTGTGCATCTCCGAGTAGAGAAGGAAGCAAGAAAGTTTTGACGAGGAAAGGGAAAGGTATACAAGACGACTCGTAAAGCCCCGGACGTCTGAAGATTTCGTTCGGTGGAAGTTGCTAGTATCTACCTAGAGACAGATAGTAGAGAACAGGAATATTCTGTATATCGAAGGCCATAACTTCCGGGTTAAGTCGCCTGCCGTGCACGCTCCTGCTACTCGTGATTTACGGTCCTAGCCTTTAGGGGGATGTTCGGTCTCTCGGTGACGCGAATTAGCTTAAGATCGGCGCAGAGATCCTTCGCGATCACTTCCGACAACCATATTGACAGCAGATCATCAAATCGGCAGAATGCAACCCTGCTAACCCTCTCTCTTGCAAGCTAGAGTAAAAAAGAATTGATAAGGCAAACGCTTTAGACCTCGTTAACTTGGAAAGTTCGACGTACGAAAAAGGAGGTTAAACGAAAAGAGGGATGTTCTAGTATTTAACAGGGTGACTAGCTTGCTTCAAAAATAGATCGCGGCGTATCTCGGGAGGACGGTGTCACTGTCCTCGTCATTTATTCAATGTACTCAAAGGTCTTAAACGACCGCGACCGCGACCACGCTGAATTTCTAACGGAGTTGCTGCTTACGCTTTCATCCGATACAAAATCCCTACAACGAATGCAACCTAAATAATGTTTTTCCCAAAGATAAATCCATGGATTTATCTCCGTCATGATTGAACGAGCAAAAACGTAATTCGCGCGTGCAATTAAAACAGATTTGCTCGCTCGACGCGAACAAAAACATAAACTACCGAATCGATGAAACAATGGCGCGTAATGAAACCGATTCATCGACGAAAAGAAAGCTAGGACGACGAAGTTCGACTTGTTTGCGTCCGGCTTTGCTTCCAGCTTTGCTCCCAGCTTTGCTCCCAGCTTTGCTCCCAGCTTTACTTCCGAAAGGACTCATCAGCCGTTATTATGTCCTTTGCTAACGAGGAATCGTTAACTTTCCTAATCTCGTTATTTCGTTTGAATTCGCAGCGAGTTGGGCTGGCCAAAGTTTCTATCTCCTAGCATAACATACATTAATAGAATGCAAAAGGGAAAAAGGGTGATCGGAGGAGCAATTTATTCCGTGGAGGAAAATGTGAGAAAGGCGTCAAGTGAAATTTCATTCCCGCGAGATACAAGAGGGAAAGGGGGAGGGAAGAAGAGATTTCTCTTACTTAATGAAACGGCAACGACCGCGCACGTATGTAGGTAGCGAGTATAGGATGATAACGTTTTAGGATTGCGAGAAGAGGGAATGGTCGGTATGGAAACCGTCGGTAGAGTGGCCCCGGCGCGGTGCCCACGACGCGGTGCCCAAGGCACATCCGGAAATGGACCCAGTTCGTAATTTCCGGTACGTCCTACAAGGGGACTAGCGGAAAGAAAGGAGAACAAATCTCGACTGGTTCCGTTAATACTCCTTAATCATTTTCTACAATTTCTTCTTATTCGAATTTCGACACCGATCGAGATAATCGCTGTCGAAAGATATCGAAATACTCAAAGCGTTAATATTTATTTATCTCTAGACAGTAGAAGAGCTCCTGCGCCTGCAACCAAACTCTCCTACAATTCGAAAATAAAGAAACATTAATATGGAACCGTTCCAAATATCCTTCTTCCTTCGAAAGAAAATCCTATTTGGAAGGAAGCTGAAAGATAAAGGCCGATTGAAAGGGTGGTTCGAAGGGTGGTTCGAAGGGTGGTTCGAAGGGTGGTTCAAAGGGTGCTTCAAAGGCTGCTTCAAAGGCTGCTTCAAAGGACTTGGAAACCGCCGAAACCGCGAATCCAAATGAAATTTCGACGATCGCACCTTTAAACGTTCCCAAGGAAAACTAAGAATTTGACAATAGAAAAGAATTTTCTCTTTTTCTTTTCCTCGAGGGAACCCGCTGAAAGGCGAAAAGGTGGAAACGATAGGAAACCCTTGTCGTTTCGTTCGAACGCAAATCTATTGACTGGAAAGAAAATAAAAGACAATGCTGAAAAAGTCGAAAAGTAATTAAAAAGCGTTTCGTCCTTCGTTGGGAACTTTTTCTTCCTAGGGACAGCGCAGCGGAACTTTCAAAAGCTTCGAGTTCCGTAAAGTTGTGTCGATTGTTAACGAAACAATTTAATTAAGCTAACGAAATAAAATAAGAGAAATATTTGTTCGTTCGGAAGAGCCAAGGGTACAAGGGTATAAGGATACTTTGGTTTTCTATTTCGAACGTTGACAGCTTGCGCCTTCGTATAACGGTCCGAGGAAATATCGAAAATTTCTTCTTTTTGTCCCACATTCGTATTCGTAATACGTTGACAAGAGACGTAAATTGTTTGCTCGTAGGGATGCAATCTTCAGACACGTCCACAGTTATTACGGTTCGTTCGATGGGACACGCGTTCTTCTTCTATCTTTGGTAAAAGGCAAAAAAGGAGACAAATTACGGGGTATAAATTTTAACCCCCACCCCACCACCCCTCTTAAAGTCTTATCTCTAGATAGTAGAAGATCTCTTCGGCCCTTATCGATACCACTATGGTGTCACCGGCCGTTGAGCAACACTTTGCGCGCGTCGAGCAAGTAAGAAAGTAAATAACATTTTCCAGTCTTGCGCTGTATCGCAAGCGATCTCACCCCCTCTCTCGCGGTCGCTCTCTCTTTCGGTCTAACTAAATTTTCAAACAATGTATTCGCTTTAAAGCTCGACTACGTCGCTCGTCGCGGGAAAACCATTGCTGAACGCCTTTTTGCGAGCACTCACGTTCCACTTTTTCGCATTTTCATCGCGCGAATCATAGAAGCATTTGCCAACCTTTCCCATTTGCGTCAGAAAAGAAAGAGAAAAAGAAAAATAAATACATATGTTCGGCGAAGTGTTATTTTACATCTTCTTTTTTCCTTCTTTCCGCCGTTTCCTACATATTACGTTCGTTAAACGCTCTCATTCATATATAATTGTGGAAATATCATTTTAGGTCTCTGCGTTTCATGTCAAAATCGAAATATTCGAGATGCAGATGTAGATAATAATATATTATTAAATCATTGCATAAATATATTCACGTTAAATAAATTAAAACAATTCTAGAGAGAAAGTGAGAACGAGATTATTTATAATAATCAAATATTCTCTTTATTATGAATTTTTTTATGGTATATTAAGAAAGTATATAATTGTCAATAATTATATATTATTGAACTAATGTAAAAATACCTCGCATACAAAAACAAATGTAAACAAAATTCGTGTCATAATTATCACAGATAAAATAAAAATAGTGCGATGTTTCAATATTTATATTTTAAAAAAATATCTAATGTTACCTTTGCGCATTTCTTTTTACATCTCATCGTATTAAGAATTTCACGAATAATTTTCTTTTATTATTATTACCATTTTGCTTACAATATTTAATTCACATTTAATACCATTCTATTTCACATAACAATATTTTTATTTCACATATTATTTCATTTTTTATCTGAAAAATCTTTTTAAATGCCGTATATAGTCTAAATACAACAAAAAATGGCTATTTAGATAAATTCTCTTGTAATATTATCACAAGCTCGACATTATCCGTCAGGCATATTCTACTTCCATTTAATAACGAAAAATCCGATATATTCTTAATGCAAAATATTATTGATTTTGACTGACAATGAGAGATCATTTTAATTATAGAAATACAAATTCGATAATAATCTTAATTAATTTAAAATTCGAACGAATAAATATGTCTGGAAAAAATCAATTAGATAAAATATTTGTATTACTAACGATACGTACGATTTCAACGGCAGCTTTACTTTAATACTTCTTACATTCCGCGCAAAATAAATTTTAAATAGCATAATCATTTGTCGATTCCTTTGATGAAGTATTTTTGATTTTAATAATGCCGATCGATCTAAATAATATCTATCGTATGTAATACGATCAAGGAGTGATCGAAGAACTACCAGAATGTTGGGAACATGATTTACAAATAGGTACTGCACGTTGCGATAAATGTCCAGCTAAAACACCGTGCGTATCCATACATCGCGTACATAGTACTTCTCCGCAAGACCAACAATGATGCTGTAAGTAATAACGATAGCGGATTTCCACACGTATTATTCATTTCTCCTTTATTATTTCCCAAGCGAATTAGTTTATTCGTAGATAGAAAAAATAAAAAGATCGTACCTTACTATTAAACGCATCAAAATTAGTTGAACAAGTACATTCCTCCATATTACGAGACGACTTCCATTCTATAGCAACTGTTTTCAACTCCTTCTCAATTTGGCTGACTTTTTCTTTAGTTTTCATTTTTTCATCGTGATTCACATTTTCCTCGATAGTTTCGGATAAGGATTCTTTAACATATTTATTATCAAATTTATGTTTACCTTGAATATTTTTTCTTTGTACGTCATTTAAATTTAATAATTGACTCAAAGAATTGAATCTCTGAAAATATTACCATCAACGTTTATATTTTCCATCTTTTCGGTATTGTTCATAAGTTATATGTATGTATATACCTTTATAAGAAGTTTAACGTGATCTTCTAAAGAACTAGTATGATCATGAATTGTCAATAACATATTCTCGTACGTCTCTCTAGGGTGAATACCATTCTCAAATCTAAAATATAATCCTCTCCAAATGCTGCACAAACAAACAAACAAATATTTTCTAAATAATCCTTCTGTAGTTTATATATTACACGTTGCACCTATTATTCTGATTAAGTCAAAACGTTTATTACATAATACTTTGCGGTGCTAATTTTGGCTGGAGAACATCATTAGAATCGTCGTTCCAAGGTTTACATTCATAAAGTGGATTGATATACTCGTTCGTATTATTAGCAATATATCCCCATAAAGAATACGTTCTTTCGGCTAATCTAAAAATACGAAAATATACGAAAACATACGGAAACATATGAAACAATCTAATAAACGTTAGATTCAATCACAATTATTATACCTAAACGTCTGCCTCTCTTTTTCCGAGTTTCCAATAAATGTTCCATACTGACAACTATGTACATGGTCATGAAGCGTTAAAAGAAATAATTCATTGAATTGAAATTTATGTGGATATTGTTGTAATAATTGATAGGTTGCATCTATAAATTGAGTAAATATTGGTGCTAGTTCTTTGCCATCGCTACTAATATAGCCACAGCGATCACTGAACTTATGACCGAACGACAGCCAATCTTTTTCTATTAGTGCCTAATGAAAAGAAAACAAAAGAACACTTTTTTCTATCTACTAATTTAAAGTTGGAAATATTTACAAAAGAAATTCGTAATTAACAAATATGCGCATACCTGAAATCCTTGGATAGTTCTATAATATGGATCTAAAAGTAAACCAGCCAGGGAACATACTTGTGCAGTACGATCCCAACCGTCGCTGCAATGTACTACTACACTCACGCCAGTATAAACTGCTCGTGCGATAAACCAAGCAGTTTCCAATATAGAACGAATATGTTTTAACCATCCACTGCTTTCTAGACCATTTAAAAATGCATTCATCGATGTTGTCCTTTGTACTAATGAAACAAGTTTAAATGACAAGTTAATAGTGTATTCTTATTCAAAGTACGTATAATATTGAAATGTAGCATAGAGATACTTTTTCTTACATTCTATAAGTTTGTTCAAACTTGTTCTCATGACGTGTATATTTTCTATTCCAAAAAAATGGAACTTTATATTATCATAAAAATTTTCATTTTCATATCCTTTACCCGCTGCTCGATTCGCAAAAGCATTAATCTACATGAAAAATAGAAAGAATTATAACAAATGCGAACTGTATCGTTATATTTATAAATCAAAGTTTTACTTACGCGTGGTCTTGTATCTACGACATACATGTATTTAGAATTAGGATTTGTACAAAGTATATAATACATTATTGATTCGTCTTCTGGACATCGAGCACTAAATCCTGAAAGCGGTTGACTGCAACGACAGATAACAGCCTATAAATATACGTAAATCTATAAATGTATTCTATGTAAAACTAATTAAACGTCTATACTAAAAAATAGATAACAAACCTTATTCGAGTGCAAATATGTTAACACGGGAAGTCTTCCCCTACTTCGAAATTTTGCACTACCCAACAAAATATTGTCCGCGCAAGTGCTTGGAACATATATATATTTTGGGTATGTATCACAAAGCTACAAAAATGTTTTGATAGCTTAGAAATATTAATATTATAAGCAATAATGATTCTGACTATTTTCAATTAAATAGCATTTTGTATACCTCATAATTAGTATTCAAGTAGGAAAGAGACCATTCTTCGTTTGGTACTCCTTGTCTTTGAAATTCACTTTGTACATTAAAAAAATTCCAGCCAACGTGTTGAGGTAATTTACTCGATTGATAACTGAAGCAATAAAGATCTTCTAAATTTGCTATAAAAACGTTTTTCAATAATTATTGATTAATATATCGTATATATAGAAAGCGAGAGACAAATTTCATTTTATTAAACTTAAAATTATCAAATATAATCTTACCTGGACAAGAAAGCTTTAATAATGTAAGATAAATGTCATGGCAGTCGCGTTCCTTAGGTATAACAAAAGTAACGATATAAAAATGTTTGCACTTAATATGTAATGGTGATCCTGCAGTAGTCAAAGGTTGTTTTTCTATGTTAGATATATGAGTATACAAGACCTAAAATAATATTAATTAATATATATTATTATATTAGTTATTAACACGCGTATATATATATATAGGTAATCAATTATTAAGAAATATCTACCCATATTTTTTTTTTGCCATTTCGTTCCACAAATATAAGATCCGTTAAAGTTAAATACAATGTACCTATAGAATGATTATTACTATACTTCTCCAATAAGCGGACATTTTCTACCTGCCAATTCAAATGCTTTTAAACATATCAATCAAATTATATAGAAATATATACGTGTAAAAGTTTAATATTAAAGTAATTTACCTTTGAAATTTTTATTTGATCCATTGCATATTACTCTATACAAATATCGTATGACAATGGATATTTTAATACCCCGAATAAATATTACTTGATTGTACATATAACGACACTTATTTTAAGCACTTGCCCACATAATCATATTTTATATATATATATATAGAACTCAATTATTACATTATAACTATTTAAAAAGTTTTATTTTATCAAATTGGAATCATTGTCTATCGCTTAAAAAATATACAACAGAGATAAAACACAGATAACTTCACTATCGTTCTTAGAGCAGGATTACCAATCTACAGGGATAAAAAAACCTAGCATCCGTCCTAGGGTTTTTTTTAACAAGTTTTTTCCTAGAACATGAATTTTTTTTAGATATAACTCTACTTCGTATATATTTTATTTTATTAATTTATATAATATAATTTACATATATATACATATATACTTGTTGTTTTTATTTTGGATAAAAATATATTTCTTTATATCGTTGGTGAACTTGCGATTGTTTAAATACAAAGTATAGAAAGATTAAAAAAGAGTAAAACGTTGCGTTGGACTGTTGTAAAAATTATTTTCTTTTGTTTTCTTTTGTTTTCTTTCTTTAAAAATGTTTTGCTAAAATATTATCACCTACTATTTATATTTCTTTAAATTTTTCGTTAACAAACCCCAAATTCTGCCTCAAACTCTTCTTTAGTTATCTAAAATAATATAAGTCGACTAATTAAATAAAAAGAAAAATAAGGTTGATTAATATATCTGATTGAAACTCGTAGAATACCTTTTTCCTTTTAAATTTTTTGATCAGCGCTACATCTTTTGCTAATTCTTCCAACTCTTCCGCAGTAATAGACCTTTTCTTCTTTTTAACTTGGTCAATACCTTTTTCTTGTAAAACTTTTTTTTTTTCTTTTCGCCTTTGACGTTTTTCTTGTTTTTCTAATTTCTTTTTTTTCGTTTCAGTCCAAGATTCTGTTTGTTTAAATTTACGTTTAATTTTTCTAGGCCAAGTACCTGTATTACGAAACTCGTTTAATTTTTCTAATCTGATTCGTTCCTTTTCCTTATTCAAATATGTGATCGAATTGAAATCAATTTCTGGAGCAACAAAAGATGTAACATCGCGTCCTTTCAATTCAGGCATTCGTGGCATTTTTAATAAACCAAAACCTATGGCAAGGCTTCCCAAGTCAATATCTTTTAATCTTAAAATTAAATTACATTCGTGTTTATTATATGCTTGCACGTATGATACAAATGCCCTATTCGCTTTATCAAATATTTGTCTATCTTTCAATTGTAAGTCGTGCATAAATTGTAAACACTTTCTCGCCATATCCGAGCACACTTCCAATTTCATTTCTTGCACGTCTACCTTTTGATTTCTTTTAATAAAATCTACATACGCATCTTCATTTTTTAATAAGAAAAGTAATGCGCTACCTTGATGTCCTATTCGAGCTGTTCTTCCACATCTAAAAATACAAATTTACTTACACATAGAAACTCTAAATGTTGTTACACTTTTGATAACTCAACCGTTATCAATACATTTTGAATATACTTAAGAAGATTTGTACCTATGCACAAAGTTGCTTGCTGTGGATGGTGGATCATATTGCAATACCCAATCTACTTCTGATATATCAATACCTCTAGCCATGACGTCAGTACATATCAAAATGCCACCTTCCATTGAACGAAACTTGTCAAATATTTTGTATCTTTTTTTTTTCATTTTACCATGCAAAGCTAATACTCGTGTTTTTGACAATATTCTATAAAATAATACAATTATTTTCAAGAAAGGTCTTGAAAATAAATAAGAATAAAAATTAAATATGACTTACGTTTGTATAACATGACTGAAATAATCTACACACGCACAGGTAGATAGAAAAATCATATATTTCAAGTTAATTCCTTTTTGTTGAATGAAACTTATCATCGTTGGTAACTTATTTTCAGCTTGTACTACTGTATAATTATTTGTTAAGCTCGAAGGTGTCGATATATTAGCTTTCTCTTTTACGGAAACAAAAGCTGGATTCCTTAAACCCGCTCTGATTAATTGCTGCAATTCTTTAGTTTGAGTAGCAGAAAATAGACCCGTTCTTCTTAAACGCGGTAAATAACTTAATACAGTGTCTAATGTTTTAGAGAAACCCAAGTCGAGTAATCTATCAGCTTCGTCCAAAACTAATATTTCCTAAAAAGTGATATTCAATTGTAAGAAAAAAATACTATAAGAATAATACGCTTGTAACGTTGAGCGTAATATTACCAAAGATTTTAAGCGCTTTGTTAAATTGATACTTTTACAATTAGAAAGCATATCTTCTAGTCTACCAGGAGTTGCTACGATAATATTGGCACCATCCTTTAATTTTTCTATATCTTCGTTAATAGTTGTACCACCAACAAGTATTACTTGTTTTAATAATAAAAGTTTGTTTAAGAAATTGGCCAATACTTCGCTGATTTGAACAGCTAATTCTCTGGTCGGCGTTATTATTACAGCTCCTATTTCTGTACTTTTCCATTTGTCAGGCCGTCTCTATAAATGTTTCTAAATGAAATGATGTAATGTATCGAAATAATTCATTTATCTAAATACATACTTGTAATATTTCCAATAGAGGAATAAGAAAAGCAAGCGTCTTGCCGCTACCCGTTACTGCTTCTGCAGCAACGTCTTTCCCTTTTAAAAGGAGAGGTATACAGGCTGCCTACAAATATTATCGAGACCATTTTCATAATCAATTGTTTATAGAAAATAAAATAAAAGACAGTGAAATAAAAAGAGGTTTATCTTACTTGAACAGGAGTCATAGTTTTAAATTTCAATTCTTCGAGCGTTTCTAATACAGGCTTACTCAAAGCAACATCTAACTCTTTCCAATTTTCCGTTTCCATATTTACTCTGTAAGTACTTTCGCGATAATGTTTTATGTTAATTCAATGTTACGTATAAGAAACTACCGAAAGTTAAATATAAAGATATTTACTTAAAGGTTATGTTCGATCGTTTCAGCGTTAGTAGCGGTTAGTATCGTTATACTAAACTGGCGCGAGAGTCGATAAATTCCTCAAAATACAATATCGATTAATCTCTATCATAGGAAGGGTACTAATGTGCGTGCATTCAATTTTTAACGCATTGACTTTATTTTGATGCATTTTTAAATCTCTTCGATATAAAATTTGTGTCTAACAATGCCGGACTCTGTATTATCTTTCGATCGAGGCTCACCTTGTTTACTTTTATATACACACGACTAGGTCTAAGGCCGTAGTATTTATCTTTCCTTTTATAACAAATTGCATATGCATGACTCCGTTGAATGATGCACAATCAATCAATCAATCAATCAATAAATCAATCAATTGATCGATCGATCATTTTTTATCATCATTATTATTAATATTTTTACTTATACATAATCGCTTCGCTTATTTTCATTCTTTATTAGAGCATTCGTGTATTATAGTTGCCAACAGATTGCTGTCATTCATTTAAACATAATCTATTTTAATATTCAATTTTAAGATATTTTTCTCGTTTTTTTCACGTTTTTTTCTCTTCACCTCTTTTTATAGAATCTTTATAAAATCATACATACTTATCATGCAATACTTTAGTTAAAAACAAAATTTCAATTCAATGTACATTATTGAAATTGATATAAAAAACATGAAAAAATCAATAACAGCAATAGCAACAGCAACAGCAACAGCAACAATAACAATAACACCAACAGCAACAGCATTGTCGTTATCATTGCCATTATAATTTCTAAATTATTATCACACGATGGACATTATTATTTGGATTAACTTATTTAACATTCGAATGATATTACATGAGAGCGAATTAAATCGGTCTATCTTTGTTCTATTCAATATAAGGAAAAAAGGCGATTTATAATCTTTCTCGTTAGCAATAAAGCCATCAAAGTTCTTGATAAAATAGCACTTGTACCATTTTTCCTTCATTTTTTATTTTTTTTATTTGTTTCATTCATTTTCACGTCACAACGTAAAAATAACGTTTTCCGCTTCGTGCTTTTGTATAATATGGAATTGTTCAATTCGTTTCTTAAATCAAACAAGACTTTAAAATAGTACTCGTGTACAAATAAAGTCCTTTTTTTCATTTCATTTAGTAATCTTGTCGCATTGACATTAATACTATCTTTAACAATACTACGACGCATCAAATACATCTTTGTCTTGTACGCATTTACATGTTTATAGATGTAGCCTTCTCCTCTCATTTTTTAATGGATCTTGCGACATGTTGTCGAGGTACTCTTTTTCAACGTGAAATTGATTGTACTTAAAATGTTTTATATTCGCATGTAAGATTCTTCGTGCTTCGTTTTAAGCAATTACTCCACACATTTATTTTATTTATTTTATTCTCTTTGTATAAAAAAAGATACTTCAATCATCTACGACACCGTTCGTTCTAAAACAGCAGCTTTAAATTTTTACAATATTCTAAAGATAAATCGTCGATTCTATTCGATTCGAATAACGCATTGCATCAAAATTTATATCTTTCGTATTATTATTAGCGAGAAAATCATCAATCGTTTTAATCTTCCTTTTTTTATTTTCCTTTCCTCGATTGCAAGAATTCTAAACGGTACGCAGCAAAAGATATCTCAAAAAAAGTAATCTAAGATTCATATTCGCTATTTCGTTTTACTACATTAGCACAATTAGAAATTGTCTCAGATTCTTTTTTCTTTGTAGAAGAAATAATTAGCTACCTCTCGGTTCGATACAAAGAGATGTTATTTAAATTTTTATATATATATAATAGCCAATGATATTGATAGAGCACGTTCGAGAATCTTAAATGTATAGATGTAAGTAGTATGGTATTACTTTATAAATAACCCATATTTCCAATAAAATTAATCACTTTCAAAACGGTCGACACGACACTTTTTATATGTTTTTCTTTTGGTTTTTTCTTTCTTGTTCATATGCGCTTTCAAAACTTCACCCACGTATTCAATTATAATCGTACCAAGAACAATATGATATGATCTTATTTCTTTCGTTTTAATATTTATAATAAAAATAATCAAAACACAATATGTGCAATATAACGAATTAACAAAGTAAAAGAATATTCTGATCGTTCGTACGTTTAAGTAACTTCTTTTACAAAAAAAATAACGTAACTACAAATGTAGATAATAGCAACATATTCAAGCGTTAGGTACCATTATGAAAGTTTCTTGGACTTACAAATCTTATTCTATCTCCATAGAATACTAGTAACCATCTTTTCCATTGTTTATTCCTGGTAATAGCTACTGATTGTGCGGCAAAATGACTGGTATTGTTTGTTGGGCTCCCGGCGGAGGTTGAGGAGGTAAATATTGCATGTGTTGTGGAGGTATCGGTAAGTGTTGTGGTATAATGGGACACATAATAGGATAACTTGGAGCATGTCCTTGTGGAGGTGGTTGCGGATACGTAGGTTGTGGAGTTCCAGGAGGATTGTATGCGCTTTGCGTATGTGGTGGATTAGGATTAGCCGGAGAAGGTGTTTGACTTGGTGGCTGTTGAGGGACATGTGGATGCGGGTGCGTGTGCGGACCCATGTATTGTATACCAGGAGCTTGCGGCCCTGGTGAATCATGATGATGATGGTAAGGGTTCGTTGACATGTGTGGTGGTGGCGGTGGCGCCTGTACCATTCGTACCATTTGTTGATAAGTTGGTTGACCTGGGTAAGACACCTGGAATGGTGGGTGTAAAGGAGCTGGTGCTAATAACGGTTGTCCAGTTGCTGCAGCTACTTGCATTTGAGATGCTATATCTGGGGCTCGATGTTGCATCATTGGCACTATAAAGATTAAATCTATTAGATTTGTCATTTTAATAACAATTATTATTAACCATTATATCAATTAATGTGTGTGTGTGTGTAAATGAAATTGTGTCAATAAATTGTATAGCGCAATCGTAAATATATTAATATTTTTCTCAATGGCATTTATACGAACTAAGCCAAAATTCAGAAAGTACGATATATAAATAATATATATAAATAATTTTTTTCTTTCAGATTTGTATGTATTATTGCTGATAATAGAATTTTTATTTTATAATATTTTATTAAATATATATATATATATATCTGCACTCACCTTTTCTAAATCTAGTTACAGATTGTGCTGGTGGTTGACTGAATGCAGTTGGCGGTTGGCTAGTCATTACATATGCTGGCATGACAACAGTTGCCGGCATAGTAGCACCCGTATACTGTGGTGTCTGTGGTGTGTGAGGTCGGCTAGGTGTTGGCGTACTAGGAGATCGCTACAAATAATGAATGGATGAGTAATTGTTTGACATTCACTATTTACATAACACATACATATACATATATAGACTTACAGGTGTAAAGGGCTTAGCATTGGGATTAAATTCCTTGGCATTAGGATTTAAAGTAGATTTTTTGAAAGCATTAGTTATTTTTTCAACTGTTGGTTCTTGCACATTTGATTGCACAATAGAAGAATTTTGTTGTGGTTGCGGTTGCTGCTGCTGCTGTTGTTGTTGTTGTTGTTGCTGTTGTTGTTGTTG